AGAAGCCGAGGGCTTGGTGAGCGCTGTGTCCCATCACTCTTCGTGCTGCCTGTCAGGATTTGGGAACAGGACTATTTCCTCCCATCTGGGAAGTAAAATTCCTTATGAAGACGGTGTTTGTGGGCAAGGTTCAGTGTGTGGGCTGGACACAGAGTTGGTTAAGTGAGGTGGGGCACATAGAGCCCGGGAGTGTCTGCACTTTAGGTGAGTAGACTGGATGGGTAGCGATTTAACCTGAACCTGGGAGTGAGGAGGGAGAAGGCCCAGTTGAGGAACTGGAAGGCTGCTTATTTGTGGGGCAGTAGAAAGCAGGGGAAAAGAGCAAGGGCACAGCAGACGAAGGAAGGAGCCAGAAATAGTGCTTGTAGTTTGACCATTGCCTTAAACTGGTGCCCCAGACTGTGGGCTACAGCCTGCCTGACGCGTCTCAGAAGAACCTGGCTGGACCTTGCAGTGTGGGAAGGCTTTTGCTTTTGAAAGGGAAGCAGTCATTAAAAGGGAAGGCAGAGTGTGTGTGTGTGTGTGTGTGTGTGTGTGTGCGCGCAAGGGTCAGGGTGACCAAGGCACTGGGGAGAAAGGACAATGGGATTACCATGGGGTTGACCCTAGCAGGATGGAGAAGATGGAAGATACTAGGAACCCTGATGGAGAGCTTCTGCGTGCCATGTCACGGCACTTCTGTCAGTTACGATTCAGTCAGCGACCGTCCTCAGGCAGGGACTGTTACTACACATACGGCAGAGGCAGAGTAACTGGCTCAGGCCCCACTGCTTACACGTGGCCAGCTGGGCTCAGGTGCGGTGTGGATCTCACGTCTGCGCTTGGCCTCTACCCCGCTGAGCCTGGCCAGTGGGAGCCTGCTGGGTGCTTGCCGCAGAACTGCACAGGACACTTGCTGAGAGCTTCACTCAGCTTGGAAATGGAGACAGATTCTTTGTACACGTCGCTAACAGAGGAAGCAGCTAGGGCAATTCCCGCCCTGAATTCAGCTGTGAGCCACAGTGAGGGGGTGGAGTGGGGGTGTGCAGGCTCCCCATCCCGGTCCTCAGCAGGAGACTTCTCAACAAGCCACGGCTGGGAAGGGACTTCCACAAAGCCAGCTCAGCCGCAGCTGCATCGCGAAGACAGTGCCTCGCCTGAGGCCCCTCGTCAGACCACATGGCACTCGCCACTCATGCTGGGCACGTCCCCTTCAGACCCCAGCTTGTCCCTTAGGCAGGCAAGAGTTTGATGTCTGCCTCTCCAGGGGTAGGTTTTGCTGAGCCTGAGCGTGCAGGCGCTCCATGTGGCTTGCTGAAGCTAAAGGAAAGTGCGTGTTTGTGGAGGTCCAGAGAAAATCAGTCTGTTTATAAAGACACCTGTAATTGGTAAAAATATGAGGTTTTTCTCAAACATTTTGCTGACATCTATGAGAAAGAATGCATGTATAAGACACTAAATTTCATACCACCGAGGATGGCATGAGGCTGTAGCCCCACAGGATCCCAGTGTCCTTTGTAAAGCAGTTTGTGAACACTGGTGATATAGTTTGGAAATGGGTATTTTCTGTAAGACTTTTTTTTCCTTCCAGTAACGTAGACATGTACAAACATCCATCTGTTTTCATTGCTTTCTCTGATTCATTATTTTATATAAGGCCTTCAAAAGCCAAAGTGATTTAGTTTTCAGAGTTTAGGACTTTTATTTTTTTTATTTTTATTTTTTATTTTTTATTTTTTTAAATTTTTATTTATGTGTGTGTGTGTTTGTGTGTGTGTGTGTGTGTGTGGCCAGCTCAGCCCACGTGGGGGCGGGGCTGGCTGGCATGTGGTGCTGGGGGATTGAACCTCGGTCCCTGTGCTTTGCCAAGCTTGTTCCAAGTAGGTGCTTTAGACCACTGAGCCATCTCACCAGCCCCATAGGACTTTTAATTTGTCCAAAAATCACTGAAGCAAAACTCATAAAACACTCCGCTTTCCTTTATAACCTCCCCCATACACACAAACACACAGTTTGTAGGAGGAAATGGCTTTGTACGTGGGATGAGACAGTGTCAGCTCAGAGCGTCCAGGTGAGGGCAGCTCCTCCACACATCTCTACGGCGTTTTTAGAGCCAGTTCTTCTCAAGGGACTGACTCCTGGGTTAAAGACCTGCAGTAGAGAAAGAGACATAGGCTGAGAGGGAGGAAGCTGTCCTCAGGGTGTGACACTGGAGGATGTCAGAGCGGCTGCATGGGGGGAGGATGGCAGCGAGGTGTGGGTGTGTGAATGAGCGCAGCGCAGGCTGCCCTTCAGTGTCACCCCCTGCCAGTGGTGCTCCCCTCTGTCGGGAGGAGAGGTGTATGCTCCTTCACACAGCCTGTGGGCCTGTGAACCTCCAGAGTCTGTCGAAGCTTCCAGTAATGGCCCCTTGTAGTAAAATCATGACAGCACTAGAAACTGAGTGCACTGTACAAAAGATGTTGGCACTGACACACGTCCATTGCCTGGTAGCAGCCGAGGAGGCAGAGGGCACAGTGAAGATGCTGGTTTGTTATTTCAGGAAGCCATGAGACAGATGACCCAGCTCCTGCCAGAGGACCTCAGCAAGGAGCTGTATGAACTGTGGGAGGTAAGGACGCCTGGCTCTTCTGTCGCTCACTGTGTGCTACTGCTGAGATTTCTTAGAAACACTGTCCTCGCCCTCCACCCCCCAGTGTTCGCACTTCCGGGCTCTTGTCCTGCCCAGGGTGGTGCCACCTCCACTGGGCTTCCTGCTGCTGTCTGTGCCACTCACCCATCTGTGGCCTGGGACAGGGCAGTGCCGGCTGACCCCTGCGTCCTGGTGGTGACCTGCCCCTCTTGCTCCTCTGTGAATCCTGCTTTGTCAGCCCCTCAGCTGGCAGGGGTCCCTTCCACTGCCCCATGGCCAGCGTGGGTCTCGGAGGTGGAGGCGAGCACCGAGTTTGCCCTCGGCCAGCTCTCTCCTAGAAGTGTGTGTTGTGCAACGTCTATTTGCGATGTGCCCGCCCTCACTGAAGTCCACAACTCCAGGCAGTGGGCGCAGCCACGCTTACACAGGAAGCAGTGTGACAGCGAGTTCTGTCCCCAGCCCTGCAGGAGGTATTGGTAACGTGTTGGTGACTGTGCTTTTCTAAAACAAATTGGCACCAGGGTCTAAGATGAGAGGTTGTGGCCTTTGAGCATGTTGGTGAGTAGCTACATGAATGAAAGCTGACGCCGAGCACCGGTGGACCTGTGACAGCATGACAGGGCCTCTGTGGGAAGGCTGTCTCCTGTCTCTCGTGCGTCCTTCTGACTGGCTTTTGGGGCACTTTTTACGGCTGGGAGTGGAGTTAGGTGGCTCTCACACAGAAAGAAAAACAGCAGGCCTTAAAGTTTTGAAGCTAAACGTGTACTGCTTCTCCAGGAAGAAGACGCAGCTTTTTGAAAGCATTCCCAGGAATGTTCACAGTAATTAGAGCCTCTAATTACTGTGAACTAGTAGGAGGATCTGCACAATTACTTCCATAGCCATCAGCACTGGCTACAACTCTGACTGCCCAACCTGCTTGACTTGAAATAGGAACTTGTTGGTAGATCACTGACAGTTACTGAGAAAGGCTTTGGATCTGAACAAGCCTAAAACAGAGAGCGTCAACACTTGGTAACCCTCCCCCGGACACGGCAGCGTCCTCTCCTGTATGTGTCTGTGGTGAGGCTTATTCAGGAGGCTTTCTCTCTGGAAGTCCTCCTTGCCACCTTCTTACAGCTTTTGATGTTTTCTTGGCTTGGAACTCGTTGTTCCTGACACTTCCCTTAGTCACACGGTGTCACTTCTGTGTGTCTCCAGCCAGCTTCTCTATTGGAAACATCATATTCTAACCTGATGAGTGCTGCCAAGATCCTGTCTTGGGTCACATTTGAAGATCTGAGTGGCTGCAAGTTTCTCAACCCCACACCGGAATCTGTAATAACTTGCGTGTTTCGTAGTTCCTACCCAGTGTTAGCATTTGGGCTTCCGCACGAGACTGCTAGCATGCAGACGCTGCTTGCCTCGCTTAGTAGCTGTGGGGCCCTGGGCAGCTAGAGTTTTCAGTGCCTGAATTCATCAGTAAAGAGGCAGAAATAATACATTTTGCAGCTATGGGAATTAAAGTAATATATGTGGCACACAGTAAATTTATCTCTGGCTCTAGTCTGTAAAAGCTACTTTGCTTTGTTTGCAGCCCTTATATCTTGATTTTGGTTTAGGAAAATATGGTCATTCTGTGTGCACGGGATGTGGAATGACACCAGCTCCATAGCAAATGCCCACTGAGTAGTATTTGTGGTGGTGTTGGCACCCACACTCTTCACTGCAAAGCTATCTGCATAACACGCTTGATTATAATTTGTCCTTCACTATGGAAGTGTGAGATCACGTTTCAGTAAGCCAAGAGAAAATGTGTTTTTTTTTCCTGAAAGCATCATTTGCATTTGAAGAAATATCCCTTTGAGCCCAAATGTGTAAGACTAGCCACCATGCACACACACACACACACACCCACACCCACACACGCACACGTGCACACAGTGTCTAGCACATGCAACTGCCCGTGGAATCTTTATTTTTAAATAGGAACTGGTGTTCCAAGACCGTAGTGTGCGCACCGAGGATTGCGCAGTTCCTTGTGTGTTCGTGCCGTTTCCAAATTGAGTTCAGCACTGAGGCCTCTGCTCGCCCTGTTCTGTAGCATGTTGTGCACCCTGCTCGGGAATCCTGGTGGTGGGCAGCACGAAGGCTGGCGGAGTTGGACTGTCTCCAGTACTGCTTGCTTTGTCCTTCCTTACACATCCTTCTTTGCCTGCTGAGAATGACATGCATCCCGTCTTCGCCACCTGGGATCTCCGTAAACAAGCTGGCTCTCCAGCTCCATTTTCCCTGGACTTTTCTGTAGTTTTCCTACGTCTATCCTTACTATTTTGTATATATATATACAAAATAGTAAGGATAGATATACAGCTACTTTCTCTTAGTTCAGTGAGAAGAAAGGTTCGTACTAATACTGTTTAGACAAGGTATTCTACATCTTGTTCTCTGAATACCTACTATGAAGACAATGTGTAATATATTAGTTGTTGTAACTGTCCTACTAACCTATTTTGAACTGTTTTGTTGCTTTTTTCTCATTAAAATGAATTAATTTTTTTTTTTTTTTTTTAAACTGCCTCCTCACTTCACAGGTGGCCGGAAGCCCAGGGCTCCCCTGTGAGCACCGCTAGGACTTGTAGAGGAGGAGCTTGGCGTCACCCTGCGTTAACCTCACGATGTCTCAATGAGTTCAGCATAGAAATGTCACACATTTTTCTTTTCTCAGTGCTGCGTTTTGGTGGCCTGTGCCTATTGGCAGCGAACAATGATGCTTTCAAATGCACTTACTTTGGGGATGGGTAAATTGAGCTGAAAATTGAGCACAGGTGCACTTCCTCTTACTATTTTTTTTTTTTTTTTTTTTTTTTTGAAATTTTAATTGTTTAATTCCACCAAGCTCCCTCTTTGGGTTTTGCTCCTGTTATTGTTCTTTTGTTAGCCACAGGATTAGAGAAACATGCTGACTCCTTTGAAGGATTTTGTGACTGTTGCTTCTCATCCCCTTTTTTCTCCTGGGCTTTTCTCCCATTGTCTCCATGGTTGTTGCCTTCTTGACTGTGACTTTGTGTCCGGCAGCTCCTCCAATGCAGCTAGCTCCCTGACCCCTGGGTGTCTCTGGGGCAGGGCAGGGCTAGGAGCAGGTGTCCGGGTCAGGCTGGCCCTGAAATCAGGCTGGAGAGTCCTAAGGCTGGGCCTTGCTGAGGTGAGCTCCTCACGCCCAGTGCGGGCTGGAGGGCCCAGCGCTTCCTGCTGGAGGTGACCCAGCTCTCTGCCCTGGAGTTTGGAGTCCGTGCAGATGTTGTCGCACTTGGTTTTGTTCTGAGGTATCCAGAAGGCTTTGATTTTGCTGTCACATCTCTGTGCTGGTGGCTGGTGTTTCTCTGTGTGGCCTGCATCTGCCGTCTTCCCAGCGAGGCGTCCTGTTCTTGCCCCCTCCTGCCCCTGCCAGAGGCTCTCACGTCCTGCCTTCCCGCAGTCCCCCAGCCTTCTTACTGCTGTGAGCTTAGGCAGGCTGCCAGCTCCACTGGAGGCTGCAGAGTCCGGACCTGATCTCTGCTCCCAGACGGCTGAGATCTACCCTGCGGTGGGCTCCTTTGAGGCGCCTCTGAAGGCGCTCTGCTCGCCCGCCTGGCCGTTCCGGCCCGTGTGCTGCAGCCCTCTGCTCCCTGCATGGCCAGGGCTCTCCTCCTCCTGGGAAGTGCAGCACGGCTCTCCCATGGCATCTCCATACTGTAAGATGGAGCAGGACACCTGCCATTCTGCAGAAGGGAAAACCAACTGTGTACACTTCTTTTAAAAGAAATTATGTAAATTCATCAGGATTGCAATAAATGCGTTGCCTCTTATTGGCCTTGAAATATTTTTCTCATTTTGAACTGTCAATAGAAAAGGGCTGTTTGTGGCTTTGACTAGTCCGTGTTCCTTTTCCTTTTGTTAGCGATGAATGTCAGGAAACTTATGTAAACTTGCTTTTAAATGACATTGGAATGAAACAAAATACCTTGGGCTTCAGTAGTTAGAAGATTCCTCTGTGTAACATTCAGCTCTATGAAACCCAGCGGGCTGCCTTCATCGAATGAGGCATTTGGTGAAGCCCAAGGAACCTCTCGGGCTTGTGTGTCACATCACCCTGCCAAGAGACTTGGCAGCCTCGTTACCTGAATACACGGGGCTGCAATTACGAACCTGACTGTGAGTACAGAGTGCCGCGGATGCTGCAGCCTAACCACCCCCTCTTCTGTCCCTTCTTAGGAGTACGAGACCCAGTCCAGTGCAGAAGCCAAGTTCGTGAAGCAGTTGGACCAGTGTGAGATGATCCTGCAGGCGTCCGAGTACGAAGACCTGGAGTGCCGGCCGGGGAGGCTGCAGGACTTCTTCGACTCCACCGCAGGTGCCCTTGGCTGGTGTCTGCCCTCACTGCATTCTCCTCTGCCTCATCTCTGCTGGCTGTATCCCTGGCATTCTTGGCCCTTCAGAGCCCATGTCCTCTCTGAAAACTGGGGTGGTGCAATCCAAATGTCCTAAGTCCCAGGGTGCTGTTGAGATTCACGAGAGATAGTACACGTGAAAGGGCTTTGTAATCTGAGTTCTGTATTGTGGTAAGGTCAACTAAGGAGACAGAGTTAGGAGGTTAAAACGGGAAAACCCTCAGAGCTCAAGTCACCTTTGTCGTCCTGGTGCTTCATCACAGAGCCCTGAAGTCAGACTGCTCCCGTTGGAATTCTAAGTAAGCCCCAGGTCAGCTGTGCGGCTTCCAGTAGGTTGCTGCCCTCCCTGGGCCTTAGCTTTCTTATCTCTAGATGCAGGTAGTAACAGGATCTGCTTCACGGGGTTGTCTGAGGTTACAGTGAGTTGGTGCAGGTGATGTGCTCCGAGCAGTTCCTGTAGGAAGTGGTAGCTGTCTTGTGAACCCTGACAGGTTCTGGAGCAAGCTGGGACACACTGTAGCGTGCAGCTGCTCTTCTGCCCCTTGGAATATCAGTCCTCCTTCCCCGGGAGCTCTGCCCTGGTGCCCTCTCGAGGGTGCGGTTGGCGGCTTCCTTGGAGCCCAGCTGAAGGGCAGGGAGGAGACTGGCCGAGCTCAGAGTGCGGGTTGGCCTCGTCATGGGAGTCCGTGTTTTCCCCGCCCTTGCTCTGGATGGGGTCCCATGTTTCAGCCTGGGGCTCGCACGTGCCAACAGCTCTGCACCCTCTTGTCCCAGTGGCCTCCACGGTAGACATGGGTGCCCTCGCCTCTGCATGTATGTTCTTTTTGGTACTGGGTGGAACATAAATCTTGGTACATGCCCGCAAACACTTGCACTCAACTGCTGTCCTTTTACAGATGTGTGGTTTTCTTTTTCACAAGCACACAATTTGTACTTGTGTGGCCTCCAGACCACACCGTCTAGGGCCGCCGTCCCCAGCCTCCTTTCCTAACCCTTGCCATCAGCCTCCGCCCTTGTTCGTTTTGCACTTGACCTAGCACTGCCCCGTGTCCTGCTGACACTCTCGGACCTCTCCCTACACAGCTTCCAGTCCTGCAGCTAAGCCCCCGCAATGACAGCTTGGACGAGGACCTGTTTAGGAGGTGTTCAGCCTGGGGCCCACTGACC